GAGTCCCGCTGTCCAGGATGTGACTATCAGGGGTCTTTGAGCCCTTTCCCACACATAGAGAGCCCCTGGGATATAATACAACTGCCCCAGAGAGTTTTCTGTTGTTGTTGTTGTTGTTGTTGTTAGGTGCTGTTGAGTCAGTTCCAGTTCATAGCAACCCTGTGTACATCAGAGCAAAAAACCACCTGTTTCTGGGCCATCCTCACAACTGTTCTGATGCAAACCCCCTGGTTTCAGCCACCATGACAATGAAATTAAAACACAAAAATAATTAAAAGGAAAAAAAAGTCTAACTTGTGAACAATATTATTGAGAAAGTGAAGAGGCAGCCCCATATAATGGGAGAAAGGCAAACAAATTAAAAACAATTGTGACTTGCTGATAAACAGGCAACTGACCCAATATTTACATTGGGCAGAGGGCATGAATAGGAATTCATCTAAAAATTGTATGAAAAGGGTCAGTAATCATGTGAAATGAGGCGCAACGTTGACCAGAGGGGATAGTAGGTCAAAGTTATGAAAGTACTTCATGTTCACTGCTGTTGTTAAGGGTCATCAAGTCACTTCTGGCTCATAGCGACCCCCTGGACACAGAATGAAACATCACCAGGTCCTGCGTCATCCTCAGAGCCCATGGTTGCAGCCACCGTGTCAATCAATGCATTCTGTCCACCGACTGCCTCTGTTTCATTGCCGCTCTGCTTTGCCAAGCAGGGTGGCCTTCTCCAGACACATGTCCAAAGAACGTGAGACAAAGTCTCACCATCGTTACCTCTAAGGAGCATTCTGGCTGCACTTCTTCCCAGAGAGATTGGTTTGTCCTTTTAGCAGCTCTTAGTACTTCCAATATTCTTCTCTGACACCATAATCCCAATGTGTGCATTCTTCTTTAGTCTTCCTTATTCAATATCCAGCTTTCAGAAGCATATGAGGCAATTAAAATTCTATGGCTTGAGTCAGGAGCACCTTAATCCTCTAAGTAAAGAAGTCTTATTCAGAAGGCAGTCATTAATCTTTCTGTTAACTCAACAGTTAACTCTTGTGCCATCAGGGCTCCTTGGATTCCCCCTCCTCCCCTCCCCCACCATTGCCCCAACTACTGTGGAGGTCTGAAGGCTAACCAAACTCAGTGCCATCAAGGTGATTCTCACTCGACACAATCATATAGGACAGAATAGAATGGCCCTATCCGTTTCTAAGGCTGTCAATCTTTACAGGAGCAGACAGCTTCATCTTTATCCTGCAAGGTGGCTGGTGAGTTTGAACTGCTGACTTTTCAGGTTAGCAGCATGCCAGTGTTTCCCTTCTGTTGCACATGGAGTTGCTATGTATTGTTGATGGCACCTAACAACAACAATGACATTGTATGTCCCTTGTGACAAGACAATTGCCAATGGAGGAACAGTGGTCTACAGTCCCTTTTAGGTGGGTCTGCTAGTCCCACATGGATAACCACGTGTCCCCACCGGGGCTCAGGCCCTGAACCAAGCACTGGGTCTGCCGAGTCCTAAAATCTCTGCAATAGAGCAGGGTGATCAGACCTGGAGATGACCTGCAGGTTGAAGCAAACATCAAACTCAGAGGAGGGCTGTGGGAAGCAAGTCTTGAGAGGCCAAGAAAAGTTTCTCTGAGGAAGTGATGTTTGAGCTGAGTTATGCCAGCAGTAATTGCGAAAGGGAGAGAAAGAAGTAATTTGAGGAAGAGGGAAGAGTACCTGAGGGAGCTGCGTGGGAGGCAGCAGACACATGACAATGGCCAAGGTGAGGCGAGTTTGGCCCAAAGATGGAACTGAAAAAGGCTTCCATCAGGGTAGGTCCTTCTGAAAGAGTCCTGGTGGAAGAACATATCAAATATCACCAGCAAATATCTGATAAAGCTCACTCCATGGCTGGAAAAGACAAGGAAGCATATTAAACTTGGCAAATTAAATGAACTAGATATGCATAATAATGATGGTTCGTGATAGTGAGCACACTGAATAGACTTTAGCAAACTCCCTCAATTTAAAATAATTTAATCTCCCCGTAGAAAGTGCCTTAGCCGAGTGCCTAAATTAGATCCTGGGAGGTCAGTAAATATCAGCCCAAACAAAGCTGCGATGGGTCACTCAGCTGCCTTTCCCACTGGATGATGTTGGCTAGGCTGGTTGGGTTCAAATTCATTGAACCCCAGGGAAGTATCTTCCTTCATTTCTTGTACAAAGCACTTGGTCTCACGTTCTCTGGACAGGCCCCCAGGAGAGACCAGTCCCTGGACAAAGTGGTGCATGGTAAAGCAGAGGGGCAGCGAAGAAGAAGAAGCCCCCTGAGGAAACAGACTGACAGCATAGCTGCAGCAATGGGCCCCAGCACAGCAACAGCTGTGAGCGTGGCGTAGGCCCGGGCCGCCTTCCGTTCTCTTGTACCCAGGGTTGCTGTGAGTCTGAACCAGCTTGGTGTACCCAACAACAGGGAAGCATCTAGAAACTTGCCTGGCCCCTGATCTCTGTTCTGCAAACACCTATCTTGTTTCATGTCCTCCCTCCAACCATGTGGAGAACTCATGATGGTTCTAATTCCCCAGAGGGCACCAATATCATCCAGCTGACATGAGAGGTGGCCACATCCTCAGCTTGGCTTTGCTGCTCCGCTTCCCCAAATTACTACTTTGAAATACAGAGCTCGTACGTGTGTGTGTGTGTGTGTGTGTGTGTGTGTGTGTGTGTGTGTTTTAAGTAATTGAATTACTTTAAACACAGATTTTATTATTATTATTTTTAATCCTCCGTGGGAATGCAAAAGAGAGAGTTGGAATTAGGTGTGAAGCATTAATTACTTAAATCTGACGGGGTGGCTGTTTCTCTGAATGAATGCACTGCGTTAATTTTACCCCCCTAGCTTCTTGCTATCTCCTCCACTATCATCTATTTTCTTTCCTCCCAGGGGTAGGACAACAAAAGAGTCATCCTGCGACTTGAAATTCCAGCACTTCCCTCCGAAGAAAAATAGGTCAGCATTTTCATGCATTTATTCATGTGTTATTGTCAGCGACTTGTTGCCACTCTGGACAGCCACCTACAACAGAACACAGCACTGTCTGCTCCTGTCCCATCTTCACAATTGTCAGTACGCACCAGTGTCTGGTGTATTCTGAAAACCTTTTAGCTAAAGGGGCTTACCTCCTGCCCTTGTATTGCACACGAATCTATAGTGATCCCCGGGGCTTTCATTAGCTACTTGTCAAAAGTGAGCTGTGCCAGACCTTTCTTCCTACTCTGTGTGAGTCGGGAAGCTCCGCTGAATCCTGTCCACCTTGGGTGACACTACTGGAATTGAAAAGGCCAGTGACATAACTTCCAGCATGACAGCATCTCCACACACAACCCACAGCTGTGTGACGCACTGAGGGGTGGATGTCGGTATTTGTTAATAACAAGCAGGGAAAACTGCCATTGAGTCAGTCTGATACCGAGTGACCCCGTAGGGCAGTGTAGAACTGTCACGCCTGTGGTTGTAATCGTTACCGAAGCGGATCACCTCATCTTCTCCAGAAGGGCAGCTGGTGGAGCTCAATCCATCAACATTTTGGCTACCAGCTGAGTGTTTAACAAGTGCATCAGCTTAAAAATCCCCTCAAATAAAAAAGAAATCTACTGCCACCGAGTCAGCGGTGACTCATAGCAACCCTATAGGACAAGGCAGAACTGCCCCTGTGGGCTTCCAAGATTTTTTTTTAAAGCCCCATCTTTCTCCTATCTAGTGGCTGGTTTCAAACTGCTAACCTTGCAGTTGGCAATCCAATGTGTCACCCCTCTGCCATTGGGTATTCCTGTAACTCCTTAGGCTTCTCTTTATTAATAAGTCTAAACATCGAGTTGATTCTGACTCATAATGAGGACATTTTATAGGAGAAAATAGAACTACTCCTTAGAGTTTCTAAGGCTATCAATCTTTATGGAAGCAGACAGTCTCATCTTTGCCCCATAGAGCAGCTGGTGGATTTGAACCACTGACCAACTGTTTGGTTAGCAGTCCAAAATTTACTTGACAGTGACACCCAGGCTCCTTTATTAGTAGTAGAGAAGTCAAAACTCTCACACTGTGGGAAAAAAAAAAATGGACATGACTCTCCTCCTTCCAGCCAACCAAAGGTAAGTTGATAGAAGGCTATTGCTGGTAGGGATCTTACCTGCTACCTGGAGACAGAGGTCCCAAAGGAAAAGTGAGTCGATATAGGTTGAACACACATGTGTGTTGGGCTGGGTTGCATAGAGACACAGGACCAGTGAACGGGCGTTAGAGAGTCTCCGGGTGTTGGACCAACCCTTACATCACCAGTGTAGTCTACATACCAAATTCTTGTCTGCAGCCCTACTACGTGCCAGTTGTTGGAAGCTTGGGATCCTAGGATCACCTTAGATCAATATTTTCCCTAAGCAGAGTAAATGAGTACATGCAAGAAAGAGAAACTTAAAATATTTTCCAGACTATGTGAAGCAAAGTAAAATGTGTGGCTATGCTCGGGTTTCTGTATGTTTATATTAAATACATTTGAATAATGCATTTAAGTCCATTTTTCTTCTTGACAACAGCAGGAGATGGGAGATGGAAGTGTTAGGAGCCTTCCTTCAAATGGAGATGGGTGAAACAATTACATACATCAAAGTAATATTTGCAGTTACTTTTGGGGGAAGAGGGTGAGAGAGAAATGTTGTTTGTGTTTGTGGTTGTTGTTTGTTTTGTTTTTTCCTGAGGCAAATTATTTCAGGCTGTGTGAGAGCATGCTCAAGCTATATTAAAAAATGCAAAGAGACTATATATTTCTGCAACCTGTTCCAAACCATTTTAAAACTCAAATTAAAAAGGATAAAAATGTCCCAATACGTAGACAAATCCATGAACCGCTATGTGTTTTATAATGAAAGGAATAAATGAATTTAAATTAGCATTTGCAATGGATAAGTCCCGTCAGAATGTCTGAAAGCCATGGATGTGGCTCTACATTCCAGCTTTGGCGACAATGGAATGGATGTATTCATTCCTTATACAGATTATAATTACAGCATCCAGTGGTGTGAAGGTGAAGCAGATGCTGCTGATGGATGACGTTGCAGGTCAGAGCAAGTCTGTTGGGTCGTGTGATAGGTTTTATGCCAACTTAGGTGGGCCAGTATTCTCCCATGATCTGATCACATGTGGGATCTTCTGTCACAAAGCCAAGCAGTTAATCTGATCACCAGCTTGATACAGCTGAGGAAGGTTTCATGAGAGGTGTGGCCTACCCTTCCTATAAAAAGACAGTGTGTGGAATCTAGCTTACTTCTACTGCCCACCCCAGGAGCCATCATTGGACTGTCAACCTTAGAATCATTCAGCCAATCTTGGATTCATTCAGCTCAGCATCCACCAGCCTGTGGCTCTCCTGCTTCATCTATCTGCTGCCTGTTCATCAACTCTCGCAGGAGTCAGGAGAATCCTCCAGCTTATCTCTGAGCTGACAACTTAAAACAGACTGGGCTTACCCACTTCTACAACTGAATCAGCCATGTCTTGATATAAATCTCCTTACATATATGATATGTATTATATATATTCACACATACATGCATACACAAATGTCACTGGTTTCACTTCTTTCTTCTCTAGAGAGCCCTGACTAACACAGGTTGGATTTTTATCTCAGCTGCCGCCTACTAGCTGAGTGAATTCAGAGGAGTCCTGTCCCATTTAAGCACACCACAGCCTTTAGGAATTGTATTTAAACAGTGATCAATGCCTTCATGTAAACTACAGACTTTAGGTAGGCACTGTGTGTCAGGATTGTTTCATCAGCTGTAATGCAAGATGTCCACCTTGTTGTTTTTAGGGGTCATCAAGTTGGTTCCAACCCCTCGCAGCCCTGAGGACCACCACAGCACTGAACTCTGCCGGTCCTGCGCCATCCTCACAATTGTCATGTAGAGCTCATCATTGCAGCCAACTAGAGGGTCCAAGAAAAAGAAGAAGACCCATCAGGAGATGGATTAACACAGTGGTCAACACCGTGGGGTTAAGTGTAGCAAGTGTGAGGATGGCGCTGGGCCAGGCAGTGTTTCCTTCTGTTGCACAGAGACGGGCAATGAGCTGGAACCCACCTGAAAGCCCCTCCCAGCAATGACGACGATATAAGAGCAGCTTCTCATAGGAGAAGCAGCATGCAGGGGAGGAGGGGCAAAGGAGGAAGGATTTTTGTACAGAATTTTTAACTGCTCTAAATATAATGTTTGTTTTAAGAAAATAAGTGAGAGACTGCCTTTACCACCAGACTCCCTGAGATGGAGAGCAATGAGTGTGTGTGGAATAAATGAATGAACTCCCTGCCATGCCTCGAATGTAGGGGCATTTCAGTGAAAAGAGAGAGGCAGGCGGATACTGGGTGCTCTCCACAGATGGTGTGATGTTCCACACGGGTAGTAAGTGCCCATTGGATCCTAATGACCAGGCTCTGAAGTGCCTCCTGCTCCCAGGACAGACTAATGGTCCTAAACCTTCCAAATGCTGCGACCCTTTCATACAGTTCTTCGTGTCGTGGTGACCCCCAACCATAACATTATTTTCGTTGCTATGTCATAACCCTGTGAAAGGGGCGTTAGACCGCAAAAGGGGTCATGACCCACAGCTTGAGAACCACTGGACTAATGCAATCCAGGGAGGGTAAATAATGTCCCCCAAGGACGCACGTGGTATAGGACCTGATAGACTGACTTAGTGTTGCCATTGTTCTTATCAGCTGCCACTGGGAGAGCCCTGACTCCTGATGGCCCCTTGGTTAAAAGGAGCATGCCAGTGAGATCCATTGGATTTTCACTGGCTGATTTTCAGAAGTTGCGAAGTCCATACTCCCTAGTCTGTCCTAGTCCAGAAGTGCTGCTGAAACCTGTTTAGATCCTAGCAACACACAAGCCTCCAGTGTACGTGAGGTATGTCCATTGGAAATTGAAATC